TACGCGGCAGGATTAAATGACGATTGTGTGTTATGATCGTTAACAAGCATCAAATATGCGGATTACGATTAACTAGCACATACTATTTTATTCTATTTTATCAATGAAATAAAATGAAGATTATCCCTCTTAAATATATTTAAAGATTTAATATATTTTGATTATTATAACGATATGAATTTATTCGCATTATTTACAAACTTTAAAATATGTAAGCCTGAAGAAAAAGTAAAAAAAATAATACGAGCTTTTTGTGTGTCGTAGCTCGTTGTCCAATCGAATAAAATATTTTTTCATAGAGATTTTTTTCTTCTGTTTTCTTCTGTTTCTCTCTCTTTCTCTTTTTAAATGAGTAATGATTTAAAAGATTACGCTGTATTAATTAGAAATCAAAATGAATTGCGACGATGACTATGCAAACACGACGACGATTTCTTTAATTTCTATAAAGTAATTGTCCAGCAAACGGACGTATCTCGCCTGTGAATATTTACAGTATCGAGCTCGACTTAACCATCGGCGAAATCTATCGCGGCCTGACGGCAATTACCCGCGCTTTTGTCCGATCTGACGTAGCAGCGGAATCGACTCGGTATCAGGGAGCGGGCCTCGGCGCGGGTCTGCCGAGTTTTCCGAGTCCGAGCACGTAGCCCAGGGCCCTCTCTCGTGGAATATTAGCTTGGTAGCGGATTCGAGCCCGCATAGGGTCGAGCTTGCGAACGACAGACGTGCATACCGTATTAAGCCCGCGGGGACTTTGCCCGACTACATGCACGACGCGTACCGAGCCCACGTTGCTATACAGGGTGGGTATATCGGAGACACTCGAGTTCCAGCGAACAGCGCGAATCCAACCTCGGAGAAACGGCGATTATTTCAGTGTCGAGAAATAGATAGCCCCCTCGATCTTTACTGATGCTATTAAAGCTTTCGGGCTTTAACGATACCATTCGAGTGTGGAGCCCAATTTCGCGTATAAAGTAATCTTGAAATCATCTAGCTTGAGAAATTTGTTAATAAATAAAAAAATTTTTTTATGACCATTGGAATTAAAACTTGTAAATTACTGTTGGAAAATAAGTCTTCTTTATTTTTTTTTCACAAAGTACATGATTTCTGGTATGCTGTATACATGCGTGTCGGTGGCAAAACGAAAGGCACAAGCACGTGCACGGACGTAAAATTGTCCGTGCGACGCTTCCGCATATCGGTACGCGCTTGGCAAATACTTCGGTATTCATGAATCCTGGTACTCGCCCACGGGATATGTACGCTCGGTCTGCCAGTCGAGGTTCGGTCGGTCCAGGCAGGAAACTCTGGACGTTCCCGCTCGAAAACCGATTCTTTTTCCGTGATACTAGCTCATAAAGTTCCGAATATATAAATCTAAGATTACAAGAAAAAATAAAAAGAGAAAATGTAGTTAAAAATTTTTGTGTGAAAAGAGGAGAAGAAGAATGAGATTTTAAACGTCCGCCTTGTCACTTTTCGTATCCCTGATTGTCTGACGGTTGCGCCTTTTTCCCCTCTCGCCATGGCTATGACAATTCCACGGGAAAATATGTAAAGCAAAACGTCGGCGATTTGCTCCGCTCTCTTTCCTCGCGGCGTTTCGCGACGTCGTTCTCGTTTGGGGAGATACATCCAGGGATCTTCTCGGCAGGAGAAACTTACGTATATCCACGCTGGATTTACGCGCGATATATTTGTTTTAAAGTCCCGGATTCCCGTGCTCCGTTTATCCCTTCGGCAGTATGACTTCGCCGTTTTCGTCCCGGGTTCTACTGTACCCCTCCTGCTGTCGCCGTCCTTCCTTTCTGTAGATGTGCTGTTCCTCTTCCTCGTAGTCGTGTATTTATGAGGGCGGGATGGCAGAAAGGAGGGAACACACGCGCAGAAGTTATGGCCCGAATAAGTGCTCTCGACCTGAAACAGAGGTTCTCAGTAGAAGACGGAAGTAATATTAGAATCTCGCAAAAATGAAGAAAGAAAAAAATAAAAAAAGAAATGAGAAAGATATGTATTACATTAAAGTGATTGAAAGTAAAAATGGCACATGCATTGTTCCACAATATATAATATCTATTTTTTTCTTTCAATTTATTTCAGAAAAATAACAGGTCGTCCATTGAAGCGTGTCGTCCGACTGTTTGTAATTTTGATTATGTAAGAGATTTATCTCGAGATTTTTTTATGTGTTTGACTGTTGAACATGATTGTTTGAAAAGTCCGAGCTTTGTTTCGAAGTTGCACGTGATTTCGAGAATTCCATTTACCGAATTGATCGCGCGTTTAATCCACCTGGTTGAATGTTCACGGGGTCATGATAGGACTTCGCGATTGCCTTTGATGTCGATCGTCAGAGTACGAAAACCCGCCATTGTCAAGATTGTTGGCGAAGCTCGTGTCGACAAGTCTAGGGGGGGTGGAAAAGGCGCCGCTAAGGTATGGGCGAGGCTTCGCGACAGTTTCGGCGTTCATTAAGCGCGAAGAGACACCGGCGCGCGCGAGATGAGGGGGCGCCATTGAAAACCGACTTACACGAGCCATGGCTTCGCTATGTCATTATTTCGAGCAACGGGAAACGTTACGAGAGGAAGAGTCGGGAGATTTATTGCGTTTCGCGTTGCAAGCTCCGCGAAGAATGTTACGGCTGCGGAAAGCAGCTGGCGTCTCGCGCTCGTGCGAGCGAGCGGAGTAATATCGACAGTTGAATGGCTGCGAGCGGAAACGCCCCTGCGTCGGAAGCGCGTTTTTTGAGGTATTCGAAGCGGGAGATCTGGTAATGAATCCTGAAATTCGGCAAAATGCGATGATAGTAGTTTACGCAGTGAAAAGGTGTTCAAGAAATTATATATATAATCTATAATTTACTAATTAATTTGATTAATTAACGAGATATTTTTAATTGCAAATGATTATGTTAATAAATTCGGAGTGATAGAGAAAAAATATACCATGAATATTTCTCGGAGAAAATATAAAATTAGAAGAAAACGCGATAATTCTCAAATATTTTCAGAAATTATACTAGTTTCTCGTAATTATACGAGAAACTAGTATAATTTCGTCGAAGATGTGCACCTCTCAAGGAATACCTTTCTTATTACAAAGTAAAGTCGCAGAGAGAAGAAAAATTAAGTAGAAGCGACGTTGCCGGCCGTATTGTCGGCATTGGCCAATTACCTTCCTTTTCCGCTGCGCTCTTTCCTTATCACTCGAATTTTCTGTCTAACCGTAGATAGATGGAGATGGAGGAGGTACTGGAGGGAGGGAGAGGAGGAGGGGAGGCAGAGGAGGTCGCCAAGGGACAGGGAAATGGATGAGGAATAGAGTTCGTTCGCTTCGCCTCCCGTTTACTTGCCAGTACTTATTCGCTTTGCCCGTTGAGCGTCGTCTCCTCATTCAGCCAAAGTCTAATTAAAGTGCAGCTGCAAGTTAAATTAAAACACGATAATGTTGCCATGAGAGAGGGGAGAGAGAGAGAGGAGAGGGGATTTACCCGCTGTCGCGCACCCTTTCCTTCTTCTTCTTTCCCCGGTGACCGAACTTAAGCAGTCGCGCTCCAATCGTCCCGCACCATTTACGAGCTCCTCGAAGGAGTTTGGCCGCGAGTTGTTAAACACCCCGACCCGACTTTCGGGCGCACCGCTTCGCACGTGCACTCACTCCTCCCCACATTTCTCTTGCGTAAATAAGTTACGGGCTTTGGAAGAAACTAATCGCGCAATATTCATGAGTGCTATATCAGACGTATTTCATACGAGTGAGAAAAAAAATTTTAGTGCAAAACTTTTGACACCCAAGAAAATAACTTACAAATTTTAATTTCAATACTACTCTAGATTCACCGCTGTTATTTATACGAATCAATTCTCTTAATCTGTATTAGTATCAGTACAGTATTTGTAGCTTAATCTGAGCCAGCAATTTTCAATGAATATTTTTATAATAATAGCACGATAGATCGCTAAGAATCTTCTAATTTAAAATGATAGAATTATTCAATAAGGAGCATCTTCACAGTCATATCGATGACTGACAAGAATATCATAAAATTATAGAATATTCTTTCTCGATTTTAGGAAGATATTTTTGGATGATATGTCTAGATTCTTCTCATCAATAATCTGCGAGTTCGTCCAATTTGGTTGTAGGGACGTCAGACAGCTCGTGTATCACGTCGGGAAAAGAAAAATCGTCGAAGGTCGACGACGTTCCATGGACGAAGAGGGAAGTAAATCGCTGGCAAGGTGGCAAGGAACGGGGTGCGTCGGAACTGGCGGCATTGTGGTCGGAGATAGAGATGGCTATCGGGTCGCGCCGCGCGGTAATTGCCAGGAACTACGGGGGGAAATTAAAGCTGCCCCGGTCTTCCGGCGGTCCATTGTTGGGACTCGCGACACTGTTCCCGGTACCGTTCTATTTATCAGGAACGACCGCCGAATGGAGGGTTTCGGCTGATAGGCTCCGTGTCACTGTGTCACCGGAATCGAAATGCCGCCAGTGTTCTTTTGCTTTTTAGAAGTCTCTTTAATTTTCGTCTTTTACGATTTTATGCAAATATGCACGCATTGTGAAATGTTGTTTATGAGTATGCGTTTGAAGACTGGAAGATTCGCGATATGCGAATCTATAGAGATTAGAGAAAGGAATTTTGATTGATAATTTTGATATATTTTTTACAATTTCCGCTGATAACGTGACAATATTTATCTATATATTTATCTATATTTACATTATGATTATATGATTATATCCCTCAATATTTATCTATATTTACATTATGATTATATGCGAACGATAATTAACATCTTTTGACTTATTTTGCTACAGATTATCAAATAAGATTATTTTTATCATGAGTTTTTTTTTTTATCTAAATTGGAAGTGGCATAACAGCGATGTGTGTGTGTGTGTGCGTGTGTGTGTAGGTATGTACGTGAGGATGATTTATAGGAGGATCACATTGACTGGGAAGTTCCAAAGAAACATAATCATACATATTATCAGATTTATTCATCTTAAATATCATAGGAAACTAATTTACTAGTACAAATAAAATATAATATTAATTTTAGCAAAGCAATTTTCTCTTCATACTCGTCATTATTTTTAGCTTATTATCTTTCGGAATGGATGATTATCTATAACAAATATCTTCATAATTTTTACATTTGAGTATTTGCGAATTTTTTTCGAAGAAGAGGTAAGTGTAGGGAAGAGTTGTATCTTTATCCTTATCGAAGAGGAATTTCCGAAGAAAAGACAATAGGTCTTTTTTATATTTGCATCTGTAAAATAATCCGCAATCGCACTTGTTGACCATTCTTGAGAATAAGCTTCAAATAGTTTGCGAGGTTCTTTTTGTTGCTTTTTTTGCACTGAGAGAAAAGATATTTAGTATTTGTGACTATAGTTGCGTGGTAAAATAATTATGATTTGGAGCTTCTATAATTATTACTGCTATAATAGTAATAATAATTATATTTATAGTTCTATCAAACAAATATATAGTTGGCATAAAAAATGACTATATATTATAATCAAATTATGATAGTTGCAATCATTGTTTTTCTCTTAGCGTGGTCGGCAGCCAGGATTAGGATTATTAGCTCGGTCCGGTGACGTGCATCTTGCCTCTGTGGGGCTATAATGTTGACCACCTTCGCACTTGTATTCTATCTCGTCAGGATATTCGCATCTATAATATTCAATGCAGCCACAAGGATGGATTCTTGTCTTGCCGTTGTCTAAATTTGATTTGCATCGATATTCATCTTCTCTACGTGGTCCGCAATTTCCACCTCTCTTGTCCTCAACGCAAGCTTGACATGTGCGACTAAAACACCAATGAGACGGTTGACAATAACGCAAGTATTTTTGACCGTTTATGCACTCGTAGTACTGATTGCAGGATCCGGGTACATTTATTTTAGTCGGCGGCGGATATGATCCGTCTGAATTCTTCAGGGGGCATTCGGAGCAACCGGCCTGCCATGGCCAGTCACAAACTTGCAGTTCTCTATTATAATGCAGCCTCGTCACAGGATCTCCTTTGATCATTAAGGGACAATCTTGCGCGACACCTTGACCTACATGGCACTTGTAAAATTTCGTGCATTGGTCTTCATGCGGGAGATTGGTTGTGATGTTCTCCCATGGCTCGGGATATGGACATTTTGTGGGAGTGGGGCCCGGGTAGTAATTTTCCTTCGAAACAGCTTGATCCTGATCGGAGTTCGCGGCGCTTACGGCCCAAGTTGCCAGAAAGGCGATGGCGATTACGTACATTCCTGTGCCGAACAAAAAATCACACCGTTATGTTAATCACGATATGTTTGAATCGTGATCGATTTTTGTTACAACCAAATGTCAAGCATTTATATAAATTTTAATTGTTAAAAATTTTTAGCACACATAGCATCTAAATATGTATCGATTATTTTATTTTAATCGATAATTTTATTATAGAAATTTTAAATATTTTTCTACACTTACCCTTCATCGCCTATCCACTGCTTAACCCGAACTTAAGAAACGTATCGTCCGTCCTGTTAACACCTCTCCGATTCGTTAAATATGTGACTGGCCAAATTTAGGCGGATCGGCTTTTATAAATATGCATTACGTTATCGCGAAACACAAGGACAGATCATATCTATTGCAGATATAATTTCCTCGACGAAAAGAAAGATTATTAGTCACATTATTTCGAAGAATTGTTTTGCCAGAGCCAATTGTTGTGCATTTGCTTCCGGCTACGAATAATGAACAATCTTTATGCAACTATAACACCGATCACGAATTAATAGTTCATGAACTATGGCGTAAAAGACTTGAATTAAAAAATTAAATTTTGTATCACACATTCCTTATCGTTTGATTTGATTTTAATCAAGCATGACATATATTTATTATTGATAAAAGATGTAAGTTAATAAGGTAACCTTGAGTATGATTTTTGCTTAGATAGCAATTGGAACTCGTAAAACGTTTTATCATTATTAAAGCTTCCAAAGTTGACGCTAGAATCGCTGACCGCTGGTCTAAAGTTGCTATAATGACGAAATTATATAATTTTTAAATATTTTTCGTCTATATACAACAGAAATTTTATATTTAAGAAAGATACTACAAATATATGTACAAGACATTTTTCCGAGTAAAAATATGCATTTGAAGTTTGTGGAAGTGCAGTAAAAAATGTTTCTATCCATAATTATATAATAATAATAGTATTAAGCAAGAAAATGCAAATAAGTTTCTTTTATGATATTACATTTTAATCTAATTAGATTATATTGCGATTTACGTACATAAATTTTCAATTTTGATATAATTTTTTATTATTGATTGAAACTTTGAAGTTTTGCATGGAAATATTTTATTTGATTTTTTTATCTCAACGTTATTAAAACACATTGCATGCACTGTTACATGCGATATCAATGAAAATGAAAAAAAAAAAATTTTTTTTTAAATGAAGGGATGAGTATCTTAAGACGAATCGCGTTTGAGCGAATTTGACAATCAAGATAGTTGATCAATATTTTTGCGGTCTTTCTTACGTATTGATTATTTTTCATATCGAAGTTCTGCATTATAAAATTTTTTTACGTGCATATGTGCAATCTTCAAGTGATAAATTAATGATAGCGATATGGATTATACTTTGAACATTTAAAGTTAATTGCTCCTGACTATAGAAGTAAAATGTATATGTGGTCTCTGCAAGTGATTCTCTCTCTCTCTCTCTCTCTCTTTCTCTCTGTCTGTCTCTGTCTATCTCGTGGTAAGAGTATCGAACATACAAATGATTTTATCATAATACTTGACGAAAGCGTTACATGTGTATTTAGTCACGAAATAATGAATAAGAGCTCTTTTATTCAACTTGCTTATCGAAATTACCGCTGACATACGTATCGAATCATTTATATCTCGTAATCTATATTCGCCTTGGTGTAAGGTCCAGTCCTTGTCTGATAAAACTTACATTGAATAAATTTGATTGTGACGGCCGTGTATAATAATCGACAAAAGTCTGAGAAGACATATTTCTTATCTAGATTTTTTTCAGATATGGACGTATTTCTTATATATGACGAAAAGCATATGACGAAATATAAGATATCATGCGTAAAAAATGTGAACTTTTAATTTATCAAATTAATTGCGAGCAAAAATCAATTGAAACTCTGTTTGAACCATTAATATGACAAAAATGTTCTCAGAAAGAGATTCGTTTAAATCTGTACTTTAAAAAATAAGATCATAAAGTATGTCTTTTGTCGTACGTATTATTCAGATTATATTACGTATATGTTACCAGATTATGTACGTATTATTCGTATTTGGTTTCTTCATTAGGTCATAAGGGCTATTCAGACGTTTCTATTATTTCATACACGTTTAAAAAAATTAAACTTATCTAATTTCTACATTTGGATATATAATATTCAATTATAATCCAGATTTTGATAATATCATGATTTTTTGGAGACAAAAATTGTGCAATTATTATTTTATTGCAAGAGAAAGATCGCAATTCTACTAAATTTTTATCTTGTTCGCCATTGTCGATTCTCGCGTACCTATACTGTATCGCTATATTCTCTATAACGTTTTATTGCTGCCATGTATATATTCCCATAGCGTAACTAACAAATGACGCGCGTGTCCGAGCTATCCGCGTGTAGGTAGGATCGTCCAGAGGTAGGCGGATATGTACGGGTGAAGTACATTAATCAAACGGTATGATACGTCCTTAACCCTTCCTTGCCCTTTCATCCCCTTCGTCATTCTGTTGCAAGTTCGCGCTACGGTCGAAACGAATTCATGGCTATAGGGCTGCCGCTGCATGGAGTCATCTCTATCCACCTTCCGCTATTCTTTACTCGCGATAATTTATGTATTCTGCATTAACATCCACCTTAAATCGATAGCGCAATTCAAAGTTTTTTTTTCGTTAATTGATTAATAGCGACTTAAATTGTATGAAGAAGAAAAACAAATGGTTTTATTGTACCTATTCAATTTAAAAAAATCATGGTGATGGTAACAGGAGATAAAACATCCTTGTAAAGTTAATACCTAAACTTATTCAAAATTTTAAAATTCGACTTCTTCGGTAGTATCAACAACTGAAATTTCTTGGCACGTCGCACATGCTGAAAAATAAAGCGATCGATTCGGTTTGCCGGTACGGCAGATAACGCGCATGCCGCGCCGCATCAGCATCGGGGATGCGGGATATGTGCGTATACCTCGTCTCGATTCATTATTCCACCTTCATGAATATATCGCGCTATCGTCTTCTGCGCTCGCGCGTAGCTCGGTTTTCAATTTTCCTCCCGTGAACCATCCTTCGAACGTGACGATACATATACACGCGTATTCATAGAGATTCGTACTTATCTATACCTGTATATGTGCTCCGTCATATTTATGTTATATACATACATACTGCATACATATATATATATATATATATATATATATATATATACGTATCAAATTTATATAATTTATATAATTTATACATAATATATATACATTATAGTTATAATAGTTTATAATATTATGTTTGTACATATACACACGATTCATATGAGCCGTACATACCAAAGCACGTGAGTTCACGCGCGTAGCTTGCGAATACGCGAGTATACAGCTAGAGCGCCTCGGGGAAGGGGGGGAGCCGGTAGAGGAATAGATTGCGCGTGTATGCGCTTCTACATACATAGAAACGTGTATATATATATACATATATATATTATATAATACACACATATATGTATATATACATATATTTATATATCCAGATGATACATACAACGCGAAAGGCACATATGTACCGAGCCGCGCGGCTATATACAGGTACATAGTAGAGAGCACAGGCAGGCTGGTTGCGGATAATTCAGGCAATCAGCGTAATGTTGCGGCGGTGAGGACCCTCCAGCCCTCACTACGTATATAATACGGTGCCTACCTACCCGTCCCGGACCAACCGGCGCGGCGCGGCGGTGGGCTTCCAGATACGTAACTGCGGACCCCGAGTATATACGCGGCTCCATCGGCCGGCTATCCCGATGCCTTCTGTGTACGCGACTATAACGCGAGAGTTAGGTAATAGCCTACGCGTGCCTATAGAGTTCTACCGGGTGATCCGGTGCACGACGCGGAGACACTGCGACCGGATTCCGAGACTCGACTTCCGGGACTTGCATTCCATTCTGACAAATCCGGCAGCTCTTTCCGATCGAAAGTGTAGCGCGAAAGCGGCAAGTTTCAGATTTCGGAATCATTTCGATAACTCGCGAAATAATGTAGACTGCGCTACCGCTGCACAGCGTTGAAATTCTTGAAATTGAAGATCCGTGATTATTTCAATTGTTCGTTAATCAGATGAGAGAACTGCAGGCGTACCTACGTGTGCGAGTTGAATCGTGTTTATTACATCGACATGAACGCCTGTGACGTGCAGTTGGCGTAACGACACACGTATCGCGGCGAGGAGGTTGTTTCGAATCGCCTAGATGGTGGACCAAGGGTAGGCCTCGAATGACAATGCATCGAGTACTCTCGAAATGTCCCGGTGCAGAATGCAATCTCCCTCTCGCGTTTCCCCTTCTCTATTCCATACTCGCCAATGTCGATCGCGTAGCTCACGTCTCGCCCTTCTGTTCATCTTTTACTCATTTCCCCGTCCCGATTCATTGATCGATGATAATTTGCCATTTTGATTCCAGATATTCATTATTGATAATATGTCGCCGCTATCGGTTATATAATTTTTTTAAATGTTTCTAATAAAAAATATATGAGATACAGATTAAGATAAATTGTGAACAATTTGAAGTAGACATGTTCTAAAATATGAATTGTAAACAATTTACGTAAAATGAAATTATTTGATCAATTCGTAATGATCAATTATTCAGGTACAATTCAGGACAATTCAGGTATCAAAGAAAAATCTGCAGAAGAAAATAGTATTCATTGCAAAAAGGAATAATCAACTTTTGGTTTTCTTCTCACAATGCATGTAACTTTATTTTGTTATTCTAATTGAAATGAATGGGATTTAGTTGTAATTAAACTAATTTATAGTCTCGAAAGACGAATAATTTCTATCATTCGAGCAAGAAATGTGAATTATTTGATTATCAAAAAACCTGGAGTAGAGTTAAATAAGCATTAATTTAATGTGACTCAGAGATAAAAAAAAGATAGAAACTAAAATCTATATATTGTGTCGATTGTATCAGATTTACTCGTACGAAGTTCGTAAAGATTACGAAAGTTATCTTTCTTGTTGAATTGAGTTCTGATAAGATTAGTTTTGATACTCTAATAATTCTATTCTATTTTGATTCTATTCTGAGAGGATGCAGATAATTTCACAGAATAACAGTTTAAATGAAAGTTTCAAAAGATTAACGTTCTTGTAATTAATATTTTATGTAAACTTTAAGTATTTTTTATTTAATATTTTATAATTTTATATTAATTTTAAATACACATTTGGAAAATTTGTGTTAAATATAACGTATTTTATGTGTCCCAAACGATCTATTTAAATTTTTGTATTAATTTAACGTAAGTTG